TGTTATTAATTATTATTATTATTATTATTGTATTTGGCTACTCTCATTTCAAAATTGTACTTTTAACATGTTGGGAAAAAAGGCTTTTTCTTACTCTATTGTTTCAGTTCTGTTTATGTATTTGCAATATACCACAAAATAATTTTGTCTGATTTTAAAGGTTTCTGTTGTTTGTATTCTAATTTTGATGTAAATCAGTATACAGCATTGCCACGACAAACCAYACAACAATAAACTTTCCATGAGGGACATTTTGCATTAACTTATTTTTTTTATCAGTTATTATTATGGCTGGTCTGTTTAGTTAAAATTTTACTTGTATTTGAGTTAATTAGAATTTTTAATGAGCCTTTTTTGTTACAATTTTTCTATAGAGGTAGGCTATGTTTGCATTTCTATTTTACTTTTGAATTGAACTTGTAATGTCTGGTGTCAGTTTTCTGATCTTGTTCTCTCTTTTTAAGTTAGACCCCAGAGGGACGGTTTCCAGTCAGGTGTTTTCTTTCTGTCACACAAGCAAGAAGCTCGAAAACTGCGCTGTGTCCCAGCAATTAAAACWCCAATACCCACAATTCTCTGCGCATTTACGTCTGTCCCTGCCGTCATGGTAACCAAAGGGCTTGCTGGGAACTTTTGGCTCCTCCCCACTATGACAGCTAGCTCCCATTTTCCAAAGATTTCGCGAGATTTGCGGGTTGGCGTGTGGAAACATTATTGTCTGCCAAACGAACCGAAAAATAAGGACATGAAATCAGCTTGAAGGTAATAAATTATGTTCCACACAAGGAATAAGGTCATGAACATTCAGTTATTCGCGGCGTTTGTTAGCTGCTGTCGGGGGGAGAGTGTGGAGGAGCGGATATGAACGCCTCCGCTTTGCCTTCAGTAACATCTGCRTTATGAACTGTCTGACAGATAATCTGCCGGGTTTGCTGTGGCATTTTAGTCCAGGAGAAGTTAGTTTCTGCTCAAAACGTGACTCCCCTCGGCATTTTTGTATTATGTAATTTGTAAAGCATACAAACGTCACGTTTCATCTCATCTTTTCTTACCAAAACGGCTAGCCTCTCATATGCTCTCAGATATTTTTACTGACCAACTAACTAAATATCTCAATCACATCCTTGCTGAAGATTGATGCGACCTCCAGAGTTTGCCTTAAATACACAGGAAGTTGTTCCAACAAGCCAGCTCATTGGTTGTTGGAGCTGTCAATCTTTTGAGCAGACTTTCTCTCTATTACAGTGTTTTTCAACCCTGCCTGGTCCAAAGCACAMTGCCCTGCATGTTTTAGATGTTTCCTTGCTTCAACACAGCTGATTTCAGTTGGAAACTAATTAGCAGGCTTTTGATGAACTGCAATCATCTGAATCAGGTGTGTCCAATGAATTTAAAAAAGGGAAAGGAATTCAAATATCTGGGGCTCTGGTTTGATTCTAAACTCTTATGGGGTTGTCACATTGATAAAATAGTAGGAAAATGTAAAAATTATAATAAATATTATGAGGTGCCTTAGAGCAGTGGTTCCCAAACTTTTTATCATCTGACCCACAAAATATCCATGGCAAAAACTTGTGACCCCAAATATTACTGGTCTGAGGACACAAACTTCATTAATAACCCTAAAAACACAGGCTT